GAAAACGCAATCACTAGCCTCACCAGGCTAGGGCTAACGTGGTCAGGAAATTCGTTTGCTTGCATAGATTTGGCTTCAACCGCTGAATTGCTGCCGCTTCCGCAAACTGTAATAAACGGGGATTAGCTCCTTTGCCAACTACCCTGAAATAGTCAAATGGGTTCTGACATTCAGGCAGTCAAGTGTGTGGCGGGCAATAGAGCTAGTCGGTAGCTTCAGACCCTTAGCGATCATGTTTCGCGGAACATGCTCTGCCATCCTCGCTGACAGCCTTCTCTCAGTTCGGCCTATATACCTACTACCGCAAGTACAAGTAAAGAGGTAAATGCATGAGGCGGTAACTTGAGAGTCTGGTCTGTCCAGGTTGGATTTACAGTGCAAATTTCTGACTTGATGCAATACCACTAGCTCAGGCGCATGGTGATACTTCTTAATTGATTGACGGAGGCGATGCCGGCATCTTCGGTCAACTTGATCTCCTTTGAAGTGCAGTGGAATGAATAACTTTTTCTTTGGGACATCAGTTGTTGGTTTATCTGCGGATGGTATCTTTGCGTGCCGAGCTATACATCGCACTGGATACTCATTATCTTGTAGCGTCAAGGTGATCCGTTCTAGTTCATGTTCGATTGTGTCCAATGAGCAAATTTGGCGAGCTCTAGCAAAAGTGGTACGTACTAGAGCCCGTTTATAGTACATGAGGCAAAAGTTATTAAAGTTCAAGTATTGCTCCGTCTATGTTGCTTTTCTGTACACAGGTCGGACGAGTGTACTATATAGCTTACTATGTAAGGTAACATCTAAAAAGTGGAAAGATCCGTCGGATTCGTTTTCCATTGCGAACTTGATGGGTGGATGGCACATATTCATCAGTTTCAATAAGTGCGCTGCATATTGTGGCGTGTCAACGACGATAAATGTGTTGTCTACATACCGGCAATACAGGTGTAATACCAGTCCTGGTATAATATTAATAACTGAATCCTGGTGCCATAGTAGCATGTCTGACACTCAGTTAACTATTTTGGGAAATAACAATTTTATTTGCAATTGGCCTGGTCATCGAAGTGGTGGCTGTGTATTTTATCTGAAAAACTCGCTCGCAGCAGTAACATTCGATAAGCCAGTGTTGAACAATGTACAAGAATCACTTTGGCTTACGATACCCGTTGATCAGCAGCAGCTGCCTATGGGATGTATAGACAGTGCCCCAAACTGCAGCGAAGAAGACCTAGAACATTTGACGCTTGCATTTGAATGCACAGCTAGCCTACCATCTATACATAAGATTATTGGAGGTGATTTTAATATGTCTTCGATTTCATGGCCCATAGGAACCACTTCTTTGGGATACAAAAATCTTCTCTCCTTTATCCCAATGAACGGTTGGCAGCAACACGTCTCCCCACCTACCAGAGGTGAAAGTACTCTGGATCTCATTTTTTCATTGTGCATACATTCAATCAGTGTTAATGTTCTTGATGAACTTCCGGGGAGCGATCTTCGCGTGATCAAATGCCGCCTGAGACTGCGCACGGTCGATGTTCAGAACACAATGCTTTATCGTCTGTTCAGTTCTGTCAACCGGAACTCTTAAAAGGACCCGGTTCATTCCATCAATTGGGGGAAATCCTTTCTCTCTTCATGTCCTCAACATGCGACGGACCTATTTTAGAGTGTAATTGGCTTCTGCATCGATTCTGTAGTACCACTAAAATGTGATTAACAAACCAAAAATAAATCCGATGGCAAGGCGTTAAATGCAGCTCCAAAGCTTCATAAGATTCGGCAGACATTCAGGTTAACTGCTGATGTTGCGCTATTATTACATCAATCGAAGCCGGTCAAAGCAAAGAGGCATCAACGTAACGAAACTCTCATTCTAGGAGAGTATAAAGCTCTGAACGCCCCTAGCAAAACAGATGAGCTAGCCAAACTATTCCGTGCCCGGGGGTTCGCATTACAGCGATAATTTCAATTTTATCACCACACATAATTGAACATACTACGACTCACCAGGTGATATCTGCGAAGCTTTCAGTGCTTAGGTTGCCGAATCAATGTTCATTGAATCATTAGACACATCAAAACTTATCATGCTGCACAATAATGCAGGTCTGTGCACAATGGAATTTACTATAGCAAAATTTACTGGTCAAGTCTCTCGATTATACTCCTCTACTTGCGCAGGCCCTGATGGAATCCCTCTTGTCTAATAAAAAGCATTGATAGTACTTTCATTCTGCTTTTGCTCGACAACTTTTCCCTCTTTTTTAACAATTGGATATAGCCTACTCAATGCAAATTTCTGTTTTTATCCCGCGACATAAACTTGGCGCTGCCCAGGAGGTTAAAATCGTTCGTCCCATCAATCAATTGTCCCAAAGGCGTCGTGCAGCATAACTTTTATCAAAGTCTGCTGGTCATATTGCGGTGGGAGAAATACCCTATGTGTTACCGGCGGCAACTTTAACAGTTGACCATAATTTGCTACAAAGCTACAATTTGGAATAATCCTGGACAATATTCTCAGCTGGCAACTGTCTCGGTCGCACGCAATTGACGTTTTTACTAGGTTTTTGATTGCGTGATTATATTAGTTATACCGTTGTCGGGTGGCGACTACGTCACTTGGTTATCACATTTTTTCCAGAGTCATGTAACAAATATGCCACTAGTCAGACAACTAGAATACCAATAACGTTAACAGTAGCTGCTAAAAGCAGTTCTTCGTCTGATTATCGTACTTGAGTGCATTGTTTGAGTAGGAACGCTTCGCGGAAAGTATGTCTTAATGAGTGGAAGGGGGTTTATTAAATGTTCTTGTATATCCTTCCTTGCTAGACTCATGCAGGCAGCCACTGCACATGCAAGAAGACGCTAAACGGCTGCATCGTCCTATTGGAACTTATCAGTTGTGCGCATCCGTCTAATTCTGCCAGATTTGAACCCATGATCTTACTCTTACGAATCAGTTACCTGCATCAATGAGCCAGATATGAAGGCGTCAGATCATGAAGACTGATGTCTAACTGCGATGTAGCACGGCTCATCCTCCACTGTCGTGCATGTTTTGAACATGCAATGGTTACGGCTGACCGCAGAGCATGTTGTTCCGCTGCCGTCATCCACCATCTTAAGAGTAGATGCTGCTACTAAAATGAACAAGCAGAGGTCGTTAAAACATCTACTATTGCGGAAGCATACTCGGCATACTCGTCTATTGTACCTGCCCAGATGGAGGACGCGCTGTCCATCGTAACCATTAACTTAGGAGCAGTTACTGGTACGATGATATAGCAGTATTCAAAATGTCCTCCATCTTCCCATAAAAACAGCACAAATCAATCTAGGTGAATATAACACATCATTATCCTTCTCTAAATGTAAATGCGTTACTGAGCCTGAATCGGTGGCAAACCCGATCAAAGACAAACTGTTTCGCAATTGTATACGGTGCGACTCTGTGTGTCTTATATTAAGGTCTGTGATAAACTGGACATTATCACGTGTACCGTCCGTCATATGAATTCGGTGAGCTACGGTGTACCTGGGCTACTCAAAGTAACACTTCAGTCAGGAGATGATGCAAAAGTCGTTATCCTGTCGATCACCGATCACCTAACGACCCTAGTACACCTTTCCTATTTCTCCAGATGTGCTATGTGTGGCGAGCCCTAGAAACGAAAACAAAACCCAGATGACAACCGTAAACCAAAGGAAGTAAAATCGATCCTTGTGCACAATGTGTGATGGTCGTTGACAGATTACTCGAGTGAAATCGTCGTGCAGCCAGTGGACTGGAAAACCTTTCATTGCCGCGAGTAGAAACTCATCAAACTTACACGAACCGGATGCATGGTGAGGGATTGAGTTGCTGTAGTTCTGTGAGTAAAGCAGAAGTTTGGTCCCCATAAAAGCAAGCGAGTAGTCAATACGCAAAGCACTCAATCTAGCCTGATCGATCAAGCAGATGGAAAGAAAACGGAGCTGGGAGGTGGAACCCAAAGCAGCCTCAATGACATTAGCTAACCGTATTTACATTTACCGGATAATTAGCCCAGAATACTCCTGAAGTATTGTGAACGAAGCGCATTTTTGATTGTCAAGTGCTGCTCGCTGAGCGTAATGGGTCACAGAGCAAGGCGAAAGCAGCCACTAAACCTCGAGGTCTACCTCAGCTTAGGCTATCTCCATCTGATGGGTCCAAAGGAGGACGAAACCGGTTATGGTGTGGCGGAGTTTAGAGCAGCTACACAGAACCAAGAATTATTAATTGTTACCCTATTTTACGAGCAATATTTCCGTGGTGCATGCTCACCATATTGAAAAAGGAGCAGTGCTTTATCGCCTAATAAACGCAAGCGCCTGGCGCTTTCCGTTGCATGTTTGGGGTAAATACCATGATATCCAATTTTATATGAGTCATCTACCAAGCGTCCATCGAGCTAAGTGTTGAAAAAACCCTTTGTTGATTCTATATACGAATCTGAAGAATCCGTTAGTAGGATGACACTGTCATTTCAAGCATCCCCTTCCGGCAAGCACATGCAACTATAACAATTATTTGCCTGTGCATTTGGATAAATATGATGAAAGCTGGTCCAACTGTATACTGATCAAATCTGCAAGCAACACAATGGTACACCAATTTTCTCTTTGTCTAATCATTTGAATGCACTTCATCAACTGCGGGTGACATATGTACATACATACGTGTATCACTGACATCAAGTCAAATATCATCTTCTCACCGATGAGAAAATCTCCTGCAAATGATTGGCAAAACGTCTGATATAGTGTGGCCGTGTGTCAATGGATGAGCAAGTTATATGGACAAATCCCATTTGTAGGTTCCATCCGTCTCGGTGGTTGGTGGAAGACAGGTATATAAATCACAGATCAACATTAGACAGAGACTGGTAGAAAACTGTCTATTTAGTAAAGCCATGGGACAACTCGCACAAGCTGCAATAGTTTTAATTACTTTTAGTCTGAGCATGTCTGAAGGAGGTAAGTCTAAACATATATTATTTTCGTTACACATTAACAGATGTACTTGATAAAACACATTAATGTCTCCGAAGTAGATCGGTTCTATCTCCTATCCACCTATCTAACTTTACGATTAGTTTCTTAGTTATTCGAACGTTTACCATGTAAAATGTACCGATCCGCACCTCTGTAGGTTAATCACCATGGGCTCAATCGCCCGAGTATTAAAATTACCTAGATGCTAGGTTAGTTACATTAAGTATTTGGACTGTTAAATGATATAAAATGTGCAAATTTCAATCATTTTTGCGAGCAACAAACACCCATTCGTCGTGACTAGGAAAAGCGTTTGGACTGAGGTAAATTCAATAGAGATGTTTACACTTTAGAGGCCCCCATGTTTACTGTTACGGCCTTCCTGACTAGAATGTATGTAAACATCATTTGTGATATGTCTGTAAAACCTAAATGTATCTTGATCCCTAGCTCACATTTGAGAAAGTTTTTTATACTTTTTATTTGCTTAATTTGTGATGAATGTAATGTAAGATTTTTCACTGCTGCTAAACTTGTAGCTCCAAATATTGCCAGCAACTTGATAAACTATTTTTGCTTGTAAAATGGTATCTAACTCCTTAGTAAAATCAAATATATCATTCCTGATTGTGAAGTGTTCCCATCAGTTAGCGTGTAAATGTACAAAGAAGTGGTCCTATTTAATTCTAAAAGTTAAATATAATTATTATATTCGTATGCAAACTTTTTCACGACATGTTTTCATTTTCGCAGTTCTTGAAACAAATTATAAACGTAAGGTTTTCTCAAATGGGAATTTATTATTAAATGTACATTTTGACTGGCTTCGCATATGCTGACAGTTCGACTGTGTGTGCATGAGGATAATCCGAGAGAAAGCTGCGTGCATATACATCACTACTAAATTAGCATTTGTTTACTAATTTACAGTTCCTGCCTGTCTCCGCCTAAGTGTGACCGGTCAAGCGTAGGTTAAGCTGAGATAGTTAAGATTAAATCTGAGCAAATACATTAGGATAAAAGCAAAATTATAACAGGCAACTAACGAGAAAATGACCCGTGGATGATTGTTTAAGTGGCTTTCTCATGTATATTGACGCACATATAAAACGCGTTAGTTTCACCTGCTAACCTTTTGTTTATTATAGCATTATAGCATATTATAGCATTCCACAACAATCTTTGACCGATTTCCACCTGGATGTTGCATAAACTAAATTTGTGTACATTCTTTACTGATATTTTAAAACCAATGCGGTTTTGTTTGTATAGTTCTGAACACTAGTAAGTAATAATATTCGTATTCCACTGTTCTTCTAAAGCACACTACTGACTACTATTTGTTCCTTTTAACTTATCTGCTTTTGAATAACACTTCATCAAATCGTTGTATATAATGTCACTTTTTTGTTCATTGAAGACTTGATTGCAATAAAGCAAATGGGTAAGTGGGAGTTGCCATGCGCTTCTAATGTAAATGATTAAAATCCTTAGGATACTTGTGATTTGTCACCAACCGGTTTCGTTTATTTACTTTTAGCTCTTGAAAAGTTTTGTGACAGTAAGTTCCAACAGAATTTTGTAATTTAGTATATACCACGCGTCATATGTACCTTGCTTAATAATTCCGCAAATTTAGATTAAAATTTTGTGCTTCTACTTAGGGTCTGACTTACTACGCTTGAATGCAGCTAGTGTAAAATAAGGTCTAAAAAGTATACACTTGTACCCGCAGAATCCTAGTTGTCTTTTGCTGGTTTCAACCATATGACTGCACTTTGATGCCAGATGAGATTTAATAATTCAGAATCCGTTTTGCTTCCAACGCTTTTTAAAACAACACAACGTTCTTCACCACGAAATTTTCCCAATCAAACCAGCGTCAGATATTAAATTGATTTCATATTGGTTATGTGGGAAATGTTTCAAAAGCAACGGAAGCGTTAATTTCACCGGTTTTATGTAAACGTTTCATAGAAACAGACACTATTTACTTCTACCTGCCGCATATGATTGCAAAAGGTAAATGCAACGAAAGGCATCGCTTGTGTAGTGTATAAAACGATTACGAGGAATGGTCATTGCAATCAATTGCTCTATTTTTCGAGCAGTATCTCAACCGCTGCGCGCTTTCAGATGACATGCTTCGACTTGCTGTGTTGCATGAGAGACAATTGATGTATTGTGCATTTCTGCTGGAAAGCTTTGCTAAACAGCACAACAGTGAAATTGACGCCATTCACTCCGTTGTTGTCTACACGTTGATTTTAGTGCCAGTAATTTCATAGCCGTGTGCCTGCTGAGAGATGCCTCTTGGTAGATGCCATTCAATACTGATTAACTGCGTGCTAACAGTTGACTAAACTACAGTGCTGTAGAAATAGTGCCATCAAAAAATATAGGCGGATGTGCACCTCATTATCAAATCCCAAATACAGAAAACAATGACTAATAGGTATAGGACAAAATAGCAATTAAAATTTGACTTCTCTCCTCCCAGAAGCCGTGGATCTTACGTGTTAATTCCTATGACGGTTCAACATATTTCCTGTTCCTGTGTTGTAACCCATCTCCTGACCAATGCACATGTGCACAAAAATAAAGAGGGTTAAATAAATGTGCAGTATAGATTTTCAAAACGGTATAAGCGCAACAGCCTGGCGAATTTATAACTGAAAAAACAGGAATGGACAATCTCCTTATCACGAGTGACCGACTGATTGGAGTTGAAGTGACTTGTGGATAATTTTGATTAATGAATGCATTCCTTGCATCATTCCATTCGGACACGTTTGGCCACATAGCGGTTACTCAAAACATTTTCAATCGTACCCTCAATCTATGCTATGAATGTAATTTGCGTTGTTACATAAATCGTTCGCACACAGCGAAGGTTTTGTCCAAGGCCTAACAACCACCCATGACTGAAATTGCTCACTTCTATCTTTCATCTGGCCGGTCCCAATGAGACGATCAGTAGCAAAACAAATGAGTCACTGGTGCTAATAAACTGTACGAATGTTGCTGAAATTTATCAGCTTATGGTTTAGCTTGTTGGTGATTGCAATTAATCAAAATGTTAACCAAATTTAGTAGTCTTAGGCATGTCCTTCACATTTGTTTCCTGGAAAATCGTACTAGTGTAAGGTGACACATCCAGATAATTCGACACAGCATTCACATTTACTGACAGGGTGCTTTCGTGTATTATTCCTCGGAAAATCAGACACAATATTAATAAAGTACAAGGGAACTTACCAACCATTCCCCCTAGTTTGAAAAGGCTTATAATATCCGTTTGTTTTCTACAAAAGATCAATTTTGTAGAACGTTTTCATTAGTGACCAACGTTGCACATTTACTTTTTCCTGCCAATTAATCCATTAAACACGCTGTTAGTAGCCCTTATTCAAGTTGCTTTTCATCGATAGGAGTGCGTATAACAAGTGGCTCAGTGTTATCTCAGGTCAATTCAATTCCGTCTTTAAACCATCATTTTCAGCTTACTTAATTTGCATGCACTTATGCATAATAGCGAAGAAAATGAAAGAAAATTTACGGATCCATCACACAGTAATTATAAATACTATTAGCATATTCAGTCCCTGAGAATTTTCATTTTTTTAGTTGAGACAATTTTGATATAATTCATATGGAAGGCTTAAGTAATTGCCAGAACTTTTAACAAAATATCCAAAACTCTCTTCTCATTGAATGGACTCGACAGAGTTGTTAGGATATCTGAACATGAGTAACAGTTATTGGCAGAAATACAGCATATTGCCTATAATTTATTTTCAGTTGAAAGACTTGGGCAAACTTATCCGGATACAGAGACCGAAGTTCCAGAAGCAGCAAGTGAGTATTTCTCAGTTTATAGCTAGTGCACACAGTTGCAAAACTTATCTTTCTGTATATGACACGGTTAGTTTAACTATAACGGCGTTCATATAAACAACCACGTACCAAATGCAATCAGATAGATTGACTAGCAAAACGATTTTCGGATTATCTTAGCTGATTTTCCCGTGGATGTGCGAGTATAGTATATCTTCCAGCACTAAATGCATCAAATTATTGACTGTAATTCGTAGGGTTAAGGCTGTCCATCAGCTTCCGATACCATAGATAAGCCAAAGAACAATGATTTAGAAAGGAGGCCAGAGTGATTAATATGCAAGTCCATAGGAAGACCGGGGTGATTGTTATCAACTACTTATTAAGACTAACTGGATAAAAGGAAAATTAAATTTAACGCCACTCACCTGGTTATTTACATGAACACGTATCCGGGTCTGCTCACCGCGACGTAACGGAGACGTCTAGTGATGGCACTGCTTGAAATAGTTCTTTTCTCGATGGAAGCAACTAATTGGCATAAAGTAAGCAGGATGGAGTATAGTCCTACCACTTCTCAAATGCCCCGTAATTAAAGTGAGAAGGCAGTGCGTTCCAGATTCTGGATACCAGAAAGGGGGAACCTTCACTCAGCCATCAAGTCGACTCTGGTGTGTGACCAGTGTGAGACGAAGCCCCTCAGTTTGGGATTGTGGCTGTCAAGCAGTAGCTAGCGACAGGCGTGCTTTTGGTTATTCGGTAGTTGATACATTATTATCATGTCTACTCGCATGCCGCGGCATTAGCCGTTATAGAATCCAGGTTTTTCAGTCCATGACTGTAAGGAAAATACAGTAGTCATGTAACGACCATCGTCGTTCTGGGCTCTTGATCTTTCGTGGATGGCCGTCATGTTTGCGAAAAAGTCGTCACGCTGGAATCGCCTATTCCACTTGAGGCCTTACGTAGGCGTTCAGAAGTTCTGGGAGGTTACCAACTTAAGCTTTCTGATAACGCTTGTAAGAGTTCACGATGCTGTCTGGATCCACTAGACGAATTTTTAGCCGGTTTCGAGCAGCCAAGTTCTTTGTTGCGTGATTAATCTTAGGTCAGATTCCTGTGGAGTTTATGGCAGTTGCTGTTTATGAGTACGTTGATTGTGTATGCTCAATACTTTGCATTTTTAAAGGCTAAACTGGATCCAATTTTCTGAGATCAATTTGTAAGCATTGTCATGCTTTCTATTTAGTACCTTGTGGTCGCCCAGTGTCTTAATGTCATGCAAGATATAAAGCTCATCCGCAAATATAGAAAATCTGACTGCAGTACAATAGTAAATTTTTGGTGAATATTAGGAAAAACCATGGTCCCAGTTTTGGTCTTTGGGACATAAGACACTGCAATCCAATTGGGTCGGAGATAGTTATGCGGACTCTCAAATTCAGCAAACGTCGAATAATGAAGTTGCTTGTCCATTCCAGCAGTGGGTTACCGATTTAATAGCTTCGAAGTTCGTGAAGAACAAATCGCTTTTTCGGGTGTTCGAATGCTTTAAAAAACCTAGATCTACGTTTTGGACTCCATGTATGCCTTCGACCGAGGTGAACCACCTTGTTCGGGTTAGTAACTAATTGGTTGTGCAAGGGGATTTCTACAGAATCCATGATGCTCTGACAATGTGACATTGTTGTTACAGACGAATCTTATACGCAGCTTTGCGAATATACCTTCCATAAAATAGAATAACACGATGAAATTTGTGAATGGACGTAGGCCGATGGCTCTGTACGATTTTCATTTATGCAAATAGGAGCACAAATTCCCAGTTTTTACATTATAGTACTTGCATTTCCGTAAAGCTGCGTTGCAAGAACTGCTCCAACGATTTAGCGAAGTTCGTGGGAACTGCTTTTAAAACCCCAGTCTGATGTCCACATAAATAGAGTTATGCTTGCGCAGAGACATTATCCTGTTCATCCAATTTGTAGCAATGACTAATAGATGGCTTAAAACTTGAGGCAGAGTGAGTTGCGTTATGAACGGTTAAGTGACCTTTCGCCTCTGAAAGTGCCTGTAGACTGTTGTCGACGCGCGTACACCGCATCACTTTTAGTGAGCACCAGACTACTTTCTGTACATAGAACTGGGATTCCGCGCTCCACTCTCCAGTGTTTGTTGACGTGCCTGTAGAAAATTTTAGGATTAGTACGGAGTTTCGTCGCTAAGTCTTGTTCCTGTTTCTGCTTTTGGCTTCGTGGAGCAATTTGACACATTCTGTATGCAATTAGGTAGGAATGCAAAATCTGTGCTCCAACACCATTCTTATAAGCACACTAGGGATTACTTCTCCAAAGTCTGTTTTAAATTGTTATATAGCAGAGCTAGATTCTCGATTGTTTGCAGTTTGAAGTTACTCACCAGAAACTCGTGAATGTATGACCATTCCATAATTCGCCTCATAGCAGACTTCAGACGCTGATGCAATTTAATGCTATAATTTGGAGACAGCCAAATTAATGCAATTAAACACGGATCACCACATTGCAGGGGCAGGTGGCACTAGGCATAATCGAGCGCATTAGTATCTGGATCGTCAGTGACATCGATTTGCTGGGCAGATGGTCAATACAAGAACATTTGTAAATGTAACTTCAGCGTGGGAGTCTAGTCCGACAATTTTGAGGTCAGCTGTCTGTCGTTTATTTGTTGAAACGTATTCGCTTATCCCGGGAATATTCCGGGTTGGCTTGTAAATTGTTGACGTTAGTATGCGGCTGCAAACCTATCCGTCCCTCACCTGGCGAATGTTCTGAAATCCATATTCGTGCCAAGCGGCACTGGATAGATTAGCAATGGCTGTCCGTCAATTTGGACTTTCTTTTGCGCTCTCGAAGTGAAAAGCATTCCTTAAAGATTAGCAGGGACCGCCTTCTAGGTTGACCCTTAGTGGGGATCTACCAGAAATCTTTCAAAAATTCAACTACTTGGGAAGTTGTATTAATGCCCGTGGGATTAAATATGAGATCACGAGAGGTAAAGCAGAAGCTCGAGGCGCTTTCGCTAACGTTCGCCACTTATGGCGCCGGCGTGACATGACTCGACCTGAATGGTAGAGTGTATAATGTAACGGTACGTTTGACCCTACTCTACGGTTGTACAACCTAGCCCCTTAGATTAATGTACATAACGAGGCTAGTTACGTTCGATGACCGGTGACTTCGCAATTTAGCTCACATCTGGTTGGAACACAGAGTAAACAATGAGCCTGTCCGCCGTCTTGTTTACGGCACAGAAAAAGGAACTGAACCGCTTAGCTCAGTTATTGCACGCACTAGGCTCCGATGGCTCGACCACGTGGTACGCATGTCAGCACACCGACTCCCGTGACGTGTTTTGTTTGCGCGTCAGGGGTGTAGATGGAAGAACACGAGAAGGATGAAGCCCCTCACTTCGAAGCTGGCCTCATTTGGTGCGTCGCGGCTCCCTGGTTTCGGCTCCGAAAGACGATAAACACGTTTGGTTGGGTATACTTGCTGATGTGGCTAGGAGCCGACCTCAGTGGCGTTCATGCTATGAGTTTCTTTCTCTCACCAGATCCCTCTTAGCCTTCACCACTAACCACGATCTCACTAATTAGCCTTATATAATTTTGCATATTAATTTTTGCTGTGCAGTAGGCAGATGGTAACTTACCGGAACGACGCCCGTCCGTTAGCGGTAGCTCAGCTGCATTACACCGGTTGCATTTTGCTTTCTTTTTTCCTGCCACGTATTTCTGCACAGTAGCCGAGAATTTTCCCACCTCTAGCCAATGTGTATAATGGTGACGAGGACGTGTGTTTTAAGTTATCCTTTTTGCGAGCGACATGCTGACGGGGTCGCACATAATGTCATCATCTTCCGCATTTTATCGTTGAATTTTTGCCGGGTGTCCATATGTTTAGTTTGTTGTGTAACACTTATCAGTCATCCCAGTCTTGTGCTCAAGCTCCTAGCTCGCATATAGTCTTACCTTCGTGGACACTGCCTGCAAGGAAAGTATTTCGCTCATTCTGTTTACAGTAGTAATCTGACTTCAGTTCAAGTTTCTGACGTTCGCTCTATGGGAAAAATACAACAATGTGAGCAATGCACTGAGCTGTTCAGTAGCGAGCGGCTGACACAGCAATGGCGTCAGCATCGTCTCCTGACTGAACTGTTATTTGGATTAGTAGTGAGGAAATGTGGTGCGCTGAGCTTCGATGTCAGAGGAGGCGCCTTCAGCTGGAAGGCTTGGTTTATACTGATTAATTGACAATTGGTATCACATTGATTCTGATGGTCCAGCAACTTGCCTTTAATGTAATCCGTCCCAAATGTAGCCACGTTTGGGTGCATATCCTTACAAATATTATGGTGCTCTCTAGTGATTTCCCTTTCGGATTAATGTGTGGCTAGTATTGTTGTTCCGATAATACGTGTCACAGAATGGAGCCTAGTTGGGTGCTTGACCCTTGATCAATGCACTCATGACCGCCTTGGCTGCTTTGCACCGAATTGGAGTTTGATGCGTTATTTCTGGCTCGCGGCCCTGATTCCCTTTGGACTGGTGGGGAAAATCGCATAGCAGTTGCTCGCTCTACAATCTCTGCCAGTCTGTCGCACTTCTGCATCAGTAGTACTTTGCGTCTGGCGAGTGGAATATCTGTACAATCTGTGCAGAACCAAACGTAGTCTATCCTATAATTTCGTTTCCTTACTTCCTTTACGCCAAGAAGCGAGCAATTATGATATAATTTTCATAAAAACTAGAGTGCTCTGTTGTAGTTCATATGTACTTTAAGCAACCTCCACGAGTAACGTTCAGTTGTAAGGCATTAGGCTTAACTCTGTGTGGACAAGCGGTGCGTACCGTGGTGCTTGACAATTCAGTTGTGTAACTGGCCTCGTTTAGCGTCGCAAAGTCTATACGAGTATTCGATGTGGTAGGCCTGATAAATGTTCTGTGTAGAAGTAACTGACTGCTGGAGGAACGTATGCGTCCGATTTTTGTGACGGTACAAGGTCTATTGATCGTTGCAGCTGCGTAAAACCGATCGTTGGCTCTTTGCTGCCTCGATATTGACGTTAAGTTTAAAGGTACTAACATCAGTAAAACATGCACAGCAATAAGTTGCAAAATCTGTTGCAACAGTATTACAGAATGTCAGTACTGATGATAGAAGACGTGATGACAGGTCTTGTGAGTGTCTATGTAAATAAGTTTTAACCTTTTTTGCATGAACCCAGACATTACATTAAAAACAAAGTATTTTTTACATGTTATTCTTAGCAAATCACGTTGGAATATTGTAAACTGGATCAACAATAAGTTTAAATATGATAGTTCCATAGGGAGATAACACAGAGGAGCTTTCGTCGAACTAGTTGGAATGAGCGTAAGTGAATAAATTTGCGCGGACTCGGTGTGCATAGAGAAATCGAAATCGAGGCGGTAGAATATTAGTGTACTATGGACAGAAGCACAAACATTATATTATTTCAAATTGGGGGTTTAAAATTCCTTTCCATGTTAGCACTAACGACAGTTTCAGAAATGCGGAATGATTGATAGGCACTACTGCTTATAAATACCATATGACAGCATATCGGCTGTTCAATGACCAAACAATCAAGATGCCAGTTGGTAAGCGCAGTCATGACCCGATACATTTAAATTTATATGAAATCCTTGTTGTCCGACATCTTTTGTAGTGTTACTCAACGTTCATTGGTGTGAAAAGGACTTGGATACAAATAAATCCAGCTTAATGCATGGTGTGCAAAGCTTCTGTAAATTACAAGACGACATGCTTCACTACCTGTTTCAGGGCGTTCAAGGCACAACGAATCCAGCCTTACAGGACCAGGGAGTACGTTAACCGCAATAAACAATTATTTTGAGTTGCTTTGATTACGATCTCATAGACATGGTGGATTACATGGGCTTTAAGTATAGTAAAAATACCGTTTAAAAACGAATTGTTTAACGTTAATGCACTGCCTACCTTTAGATTTTTAATGCAAACCCAGCTAGGGTTTTACTGGATACTGTTATCTGATTCTAATTATTAGTATGTACTATCGCTTTATCTAAAAGGTATGTAGAATTATCTGCGTTGACATGTGCAATTTACTACACAAGAGTTCAATTTGATAGTTAAGGTTTTCGCAATTATGCTGATATCATTGTTTTAATTTAGCATAAACTAGACTCAACCACGCAAAAATCACATACTTTAGTTTACAGCCAATAGCCAATTTTAAAACAGGTGGATTAAACTATCACCAAAGTGGTGTTGATATCACAGATGGATTCATGTTATTGAGCTACTCGATAACAGCTATCGTAAACGCACTGTTTTGTTTTTTACGCTGAATCGTTGGTAGACTGCGAAGCTTTTACTAAAAGCAGCTACATAATAGGTAAAGGTTTGCAAAACTAAAAGGGTAAAATATAGTGAAGAAGAACGGAAGTTAAACACAGCAACTTGAACATCTCGGCGACAAAAAGCGGTAAGTGATAATGAAAGCTTGATTATCTTCTTCAACATATGTTAACTGGTGTTTACTTTGGCTACATACAAGTTTGCCAAATTGTGAACAGCTTGTAAAAGGACTTACTATACAATCTCTGTTGCACGCTATTTTACTTCAAAGTTGCTCCTTGGGAGGCTGTTGATAGTAAGCATATTTTTAAATTTCATGTAGTAACTTTGTTTGTAATCCTCGGTTCGCCCTCTGGTGACTTCTTTCACTAGTATGTTTGAGGGATGGTTGAATTATTTAGAGTGCAATTCATGTAAAAGCTTAACTTTGTACGGATAATTGTCATGTATGCGAAACATTCAAATCCTCGTATCAGTCCGTTTATGTCAGAAAAATGCACGTGACCTATTGAAGTATTGCTGGGAAACCAACTACTGCGTGTATGACCTTTTGATCCAATTTGGAAAACTGTTTAGTCCACATCTATGTAGAGGATATAATTTGTCCACCATTTCTTATGTAGTGTTCAAGTCTAATTTTACTACGTGTTAAAGTTTGGTCATTTTCATTTTTAGTCCCTATTATCTGCTGAACATTTTGTTTCTTCACTACGGAATCTAAAAATTGGATTTGCTAGTCACTCTCAAATAAACATTTCACTCTTGATCTCAATCAATTTGCGTCCGTAAACGAAATCTGTTAGTTTATGCGCACTAGCTTAATAAAAAGGTATTATTGCTGCATCTCCGACAGATGAGCAATTAATCGATTCCATAAGAAATGCTATGTTAACAAGGTATTAAATGAATAACTATGACATGTTCAATCTAGTGTCCTTGAGTATTCAACTCGTAGACTTAATCCGTGAGCGTGCTACTAATAATTCCGAGGGCAGTTCAATAAGTTAGGTGCTATCTTACACTATGTGGCTAAAACGGAAACAATAATTCATAAAGCAAATAGGATGGTTCTTATTAAAACATATTTTGAGCCACATAAACTGTCTTTTGTTCTTATCCAAGTTACTGCTAATGGATATAAGTTAACCACATTTGACGTTTCTTTGCATTGCAAACGAGCTCTCTGAGCAAATCTTATTGAAGTTATATTTCAAGGAAATATTTTTTATTATTGCAAAACGTGACTAATTTTCTTGAATGCTTGTCGATAATTTGTTTGATAATTTCACTCTTGCTTAATTTTGCCTTTATTGTTGGAAAAGCCGTTGATGTTTTATGACTTTTTAATGTTTTCGGACATTCACACTGAAGTCATTGTTACTTTGTTTACATTTTACTTAGATTATTTCATTTTGCCGGGTGAGTTATTTTCAGCGCTTTCTATCTTATAGCTGGATATTAAAAGTAACCTGCAAACAGATGTATATCTGTAAGCGATCTTTAGTATTAGTGAGTATTAGGATATATATTAATACAAAAGGTAACGTCCTTTCTTATTTGTTGTTCTAGTAATCTGGTTCTTTTGTCTGTAGCAGATAAACCACGCTGTTCCCTCTAAGAATTGCAAATCTAATATTTGACATTCTTACGTTACGGACCACGGACGGCAATGCGTGCTCCCGATCTTCAGCTGATCACATTTTATTGACGCATGACTTGCAATTCCCACAAGCCATTCTAGTGGACTTATGTAGCCTTGACTAGTTCCTCGTTTTGTTTCACAGTTGAATGCGGCAGTGCGGTCCGTACATCGTTAAATCTTGTTAAGTATTCGCGTCCTGATGGAACCGAGGGATGGGTACTATAAATGAGACGAAACAGACCGAAATGGTCATCTAACCTCTTCATGGGCTTGTATAGCCTATCTCATTTATAAGCTCCTAAAATAAACACTTGTATACTTGAAGCAATTTCTTAGGTAAGAATGCATTAATCATTTAATGACCATAACGTTGAAACTTTGATACTATTGATGACGGGACAAGTGCTGGTCTTCATAATTCATATCGCTAGAACGCACAAAAATAAGATGGATAAACCATACCAAATTGCAATGAATAGGAAACACCGTAAAATATACAGCGCATTGATACTGAGATGTCTACCCATCAGATAATTCAAATTATCCTTCAGTTATATGTGTGGGTTTTTCAGAATACCATTTACTGGCGAAAGCAATAATTTAAAGTCAAATTACCACGTAATTATTCGCAAGAGCGTTTGGGACCATGTATTCTTACGGATCAATAAATGATAGACCTAATAGTTGAGGATAGCTGATTTTCCAAATCAAAGACAAAAGACAAATATTAATGTCTGTTTGTCCGGCAAATGTGCAGATGGAATATTTTCGGAAAAATACCAAAATGAGCAAGGTGTCTAGCTGACTAACGAACGCAGACTTTCCGGAGGAATTTAAAAAAATAAATGTTTCACCTACTGGATACATCTTTATTGGCAGCCCAGACAACACAAGTACACTTCGCAAGTTGTGATGGGCAATGTAAATGGGTTATACCGGGCAAAACGCGATTGCTTGACAGAGGCCGTGAGATGACCAGAGTGAGTATTAAAAAATAATAGTCTAAATTACTAGAGCAAAGAGCACTTCTGGTTTAAGGTGACTCTCCGGGTTATGCATATGAACACATTTGCACGTCTGCTCATCGTGACGTAACGGAGAGGGTTGGTAACCACACAGCTTGCGAAAATGTCTTTTTCGATGGAAACTATTAACTTGCGTAGTGTAAATTTGATAGACGTCTCTACTATCTTTTTCTAACAAAAACTAATTTAGCCAGGAGAGTAACGTGTAAAGGGTGTGCATTCTAGGTTCAGGATACCCGGAAAGGGAAAGCGTTCTGTCCGCCGTCAAGCCTGCTGTATTGTGTGACCAGTTTGTGTTGTTTGCCTCTCCTTTTCGGATTGTGGTTGTCTAACAATAGCTCGCGACAGGTGTGATGATGTTTAGGCGATATTTGTTACACCATAATAAGGTCTCCTCACAGCCTTCGTCGTTCACCCCTGTACAATCCAATGTTTTGTATTCCGTGTAATTATTCGCTAGGCATGAAGCGCCTACTCCAAGTGGGGCCAGAGGTAGGCGTACAGCACTTGTGAATGATTGTTGAAGTTCTTCCGGAAAATCATTCGTATGAAACGCAGGTGCTGGCTGGATTGTCGCCATGCCTTTTCAGCCTGTTTCGAGCAGCAAAATTTGTCCTGCACCACTACTTCTAGGTTGCTTTCCTCTGTACCAGTCGAATTGTAAAAGCACACGGATATCGAACCCTCGGAACTTTGTATTTTGTCATCTTAAACTGGAACCGTTTTCCGGATCGCATTAGGTAAGCTAAGTTGAGGTTATCTTTTGTCTACAACCATTGCATATTTGCAGTTTTAAGTGAAGGATAGTGCAATATTCAAATTGTATACTTGTACGTAAAATGCTACTGGTGTAAACTTGTAGTAATTCGTTGCGTAAATTATCATTAAATCCCAAACTCCGTCTAATTCAAAAAATCGGTACTTTCTTTCAGACATCTTTAGGCTGTTGTCAAACATTAAGCCACAGGATGCGCTCAAATTCATGCTTAAAGAATCTGAATGCAAAACATTTTTATCATAGGTGTAATGTGCATTTTTTATCAGTCGCCTGCTACCTGTGTGTGCTGGGTATTAAACTGGCAAAAATCAGGTTATATAAGCGGGTTACTTACGAATAACCCTATTTCGAAGCATAACCTTTATCCAAAATCAAAAACTGGATGAAAATCTGACGTCCTTTATGTATTTAATTTAATCCTTTTGTCGCGTAGCTTCCAAGAGCTTGTATAATCATCATACTGCTGAGGTTAAATGACATTACGAAAGCTAAGCTAAATTATTTACGTTAATTTAATGGTTTCTGTTGTAAACTTGAAGGAAGTTTTGAACATTCAAACAAATAAAATCCGGACACTTTCTAATTGTCGTTTATAATTGTAAGCCTAACCACCGCCATTTGAAATGCCGATAATTAAAAGCAAGTAATATTGAATGGTAAACATAGATCTACCAGTAAACAGTGATGACGCTATTACTGCAGTTTGATTATTACAAACAACGGCCATTTCATTGCTATATTCTTTCTACAGATTTCCGTGAACACCACAATGTTACAAATATTCTGGTGGCATATTGTTAGAAAGAACTAAACAAATTCTTGATTTATGTATGTTTTTTGATGACAACTATATTCTAAAACACATTATCCATCAAGATGAGGACCCATTCGTCTTTTGTCTAGGTCTGGCAGGATCTCAGTCCACATACAACCATGACATTTTCTTCAAAAATAAGCTTCAACCTGCACCAGCCGTCGCGCAGATTATCAAGGGTCCCCTTATCCGTTGCATACAGCAGTGCGGATAAGCGAAAACATGCTAATCCGCACCACTGGTCCCAAAATCCAGGCTTCACTTAA